TGACCAGGATGGTCTCGATCTCTTGACCTCGTGATCCACCCGCCTCGGCCTCCCAAAGTGCTGGGATTACATGCTTGAGCCACCGCGCCCGGCCCTCAACTTTTTATTTTCATTTGGTATCTTTTACTCACACCAGCGAACAGAAAAATAGAAAAGGTGGTTTTTGATGTTGTAGGTGCGGTCTCCCATACCTCCTCTTTTGCCACAATCTACAAGTGGAAACTCCTTAAGGTTAAGAAACTAAAAAAAACAAAGGCAAATTCCAAGAATCCCTCCCTACTCCTCTCACTTTGTTGCCTCCATCATGTGTTTTTAAACAACTGTTTAAAAAAAAAAATTAATTCCACCACAGACTACTCAAATGGAAGCACACTGGGCCAAAATAAAGGGGACACGGGCCAAAAAAAGTACCTACAATTCAAGTACCTTTACCTACCCAGCCAGAGAATTCTGTGAACTGGGACAGTGTCCATCACTACCACTACCAGAATTCAGAACACAAATTAGTCTACAACACTCGCTGCCACGTCAGCCCTTGTCTCTAACAGGTTCTCCCTTAAGGCTGTCGCAGGTGTAGGGCTCCCGCCCAGAGCCCACCAATGCCCTGGGTGGTGTGCCCCTGCGCGCCACCGTGCGTGACGGACGCACGCACGACATCCAGGGAGAGCCCGGAGAACGCCGCAGACGCAGACACAACGGGAACGCCCTCACATATACTGCCCAAGATCCAAAGACCACGGGGAAAACCGTCACGTAGAGCGACGGCGCCCTCGTGACTCCGCTTCGCCCAATCAGAGCCAGGGCGGTGCGGGAGCCTGGGGGCGGAGTCTCGAGTCAGGGTGAAGGGGCTGCACGTATTGCTCCGGCCAGTGGAGCGGACATTTTGTTGCGATCTGGCGCCGGGGGCTGTGCTTTGGGTCCGCTGGTTCTGGTGCGCGCGGTGTCCCAAGTGTTCGCGCCAGGTTGGTGGGCGAGAAGGCCGAAACGCGCCAGAGTTCCGGGAGTTGGTGAGCGGGTCGCGCGGTCCGACGCTCCTCTAGCGGTGGGGCCGTCGGAAAGTGAATAGCGGTCGTTAAAGCGGCCGGTCCTTGAGGGCGCGTGTGCCTGGATGGGTTCCCAGCGTTCGGGGCCTTAAACCCAGGCCGCGTGCCACCCAGCGAGGGCTGTGTTAGCGACCTCACCGTTGCCAGCGGGGAAGGAGGCACGGAGACGACAGTTGAGGGTCACTCCGTTACGGCTGTCGCAGCTGTAGCCCCCCCCCCACCTGCCCCGCTGCGTGTTTGTGCCACGCAGTGTACCGGTTGCGTTTTCATACATTTTACCATGGACGTCTCAAAACACACGTGTGACTTAGATGGTAATAATAGTTTCATTTTACATTTAAATAAGTTAAGGCGCAATCACTTAATACTCTCTCCTAGTTTCTTTGCGTTGGACTGTAATGAACATGTGCTCTCACAAGACCCCACGGGTATTAACACCAGTAGTCCCAGTAGGAGGATCAGGCTTCTAGGAGTTAGTCCCATGTTGGGACTTGAAGAGTGGCAATTTGGGGATATTGTGTGTGTTTGAAGAATAGGGAAGGGTGATCTTGAGTAAAGGGTGCCGGCCTTATCCTAGCTTCAGAGAGACCCAAATTGGGATGGAATGAGAGTATAAAGAAAAATGTGCCTGCCTGTTTTAGATACGGTACTTCTCTAAACACTTTTGCCTGGCTTACTTTATGAGGTTAGCCCAAATAGTTTAAGAAAACTGACCAAAAACAATTGAAGAAAAGGCAAAAGCCCATTTCATTTGTGAACAGATGCAAGGTTCAAACAAAGTATTAGCAAATTGAATCACCGCACTCTGCCAAGAAGTATTATTAAAATCAATAACAAGGACAGGATAAGACACAAGAAGCAGAATCCATGAATGTGCCAAAATATGGCACCTTGGCAGTTGAGAAAAACCACAGAAGCAAGATCTCTGTGATGTGCTCCTGCCTTTCTCCCATAAAGCAGGGTCATAAAGGAATTCACTGGCCTACCTCGTGTGAAGTTGGTCAGAAGACCCCCATGCCAGAGGCGTCTTGCCGCATACCTGGGGAGGAGAAGTGTCATACAGAGACGCAAGAAAGAATCTGAACAAACTAAATGTAATGTATAGACATTTTAAAATCCTAATTCAAAACAAACCAATAATTTAAAGAGACTTTTTATTTTTGTTTTTTACAGATGAGATCTCACTCTGTCACCTAGGTTGGAGCGCAGTGGTGGGAACACTGTAGCCTCAAACTCCGGGTGGACTCAAGTGATCCTCCTGTCTCAGCCTCCTGTGTAGCTGGGACTACTGGCACACACTACCACACCACCCAGCTATTTTTTTTTTTTGTAGAAATAAGATCTCGCTGTGTTGCCCAGCCTGGTCTCGAACTCCTGGCTTCAAGCAGGAAGATCGCTTCACCCCAGGAGTTCAAGACTAGCCTGGGCAATATGCCAAAACTCCATCTCTACAAAAACAACAGCAGCAGCTCCCCCCTCCAAAACCCAAAAAATTGGCCAGGTGTGGCAGCTCACTCCTGTAATCCCAGCACTTTGGGAGGCCAATGCAGGCGGATCATGAGGTCAAGAGAGCGAGACTATCCTGGCCACCATGGTGAAACCTTGTCTCTATTAAAAATACAAAAATCAGCTGGGTGTAATGGTGCACACCTGTAGTTCCAGCTACTCCCGAGGCTGAGGCAGGAGAATCAATTGAACCCGGGAGGCAGAGGTTGCAGTGAGCTGAGATTGTGCCAATGCACTCCAGCCTGGTGACAGAGCAAGAAACAAAAAACAAAAACAAAAAACTCAAAAATTAACCAGTGCATGCCTGAGGTCCCAGCTACTCAGGAGACTGAGGCGGGAGGATTGCTTGAGCCTGGGAGGTCAAGGCTGCAGTGAGCCATGATGGCACCACTGCACTCCAGCCTGGGTGAGAGCAAGATCTTGTCTCAAAGAACAAAACCCCAAAGTTTGCAATAAAGATTCACATATATCGCTCTACAGCAGTCTGAATGCTCTCCCACAGCTTAGGAGCTGTCCCCGCTGTCCCCTCTCAGGGCTTGACTGTGTGTATTCAGTCAAGGCATGCTCAGGGCCCCCCGCTGAGGAAACCCTCTCCCTAAGCCAGCCTCCCCTCAGCTGCCTCATCCACACTCTGGCCTCCATGAAGTCCCCACTTCTCCCATTTCCTCCCGTTGTCCTCAGTGTCCCCGCTCCCTACCCCCAGCCCCTGTTCTTTCTGTCTGGGAGCCCCTGTGCTTCTCCCAGAACTTGTCCACTGGGCAGGACTGACAGACAGGAGGCTCTTCCTTCCCCGAGCCAGGGATTGAGGAGGCAGGGGCATCCGGGCCTTCCTGGCCAGCATGTAGAAATTTACCCAGATGGTATGTGCTAGGTCCCACTCCCCAGGGCTGGCCAAGGCCCATCACAGTGGAGCCCATGAGTCAGATGAGTGCAAGCGTGAGCTTGGATAGAAAATCCACTAGGCAAAAGACCAGATACAAAATTGTGTATGCGTATTGTTTATAAAATAAAACAACCATGTGAAACATCACTAGGAGGAAGCATGCCGCTGCTGTTGCCTCAGAGTAAAGCTATGAGTAGTTTTCATTTTTTCTTTCCTTTAGATTTAATCTTCTTTTAAAAAGAAATCGGTAAAATACACATAAAATGTACCATCTTAACCAGTTTAGTATCGTTAAGTATATTCATATTGTTGTACAACTGATCTCCAGAGCTTTTTCATTTTGCAAATTGGAACTCTGTACAAATTAAACAACTCCTCACCTCCCCTTTCCCCAGCCCCTGGCAAGGGAGGTTTTGTTTTTTTTTTTTGAGACGGAGTTTCGCTCTTGTTGCCCAGGCTGGAGTGCAATGGCACAATCTCGGCTCACTGCAACCTCCGCCTCCTGGGTTCAGGCAATTCTCCTGCCTCAGCCTCCTGAGTAGCTGGCATTACAGGCACGCGCCACCATGCCCAGCTGATTTTTTGTATTTTTAGTAGAGACAGGGTTTCACCATGTTGACCAGGATGGTCTCGATCTCTTGACCTCGTGATCCACCCGCCTCGGCCTCCCAAAGTGCTGGGATTACAGGCGTGAGCCACCGCGCCCGGCCTGCAAGGGAGGTTTTATATTTTTTGTTTGTTTGGTTTTGAGAAGGAGTCTCACTCTATTGCCCAGGCTGGAGTGCGATGGCGCGATCTCAGCCCACTGCAACCTCTGCCTCCTGGATTCAAGCGATTCTCCTGCCTCAGCCTCCCAAGTAACTGGGATTACAGGCACCTGCCAGCTAATTTTTGTATTTTTAGTAGAGATGGGGTTTCACCATGTTGGCCAGGCTGGTCTCAAACTCCCGAGCTCAGGTGATCCACCTGCCTTGGCCTCCCAAAGTGCTGAGATTACAAGCATGAGCCACCGTGCCCGGCCTGAGGTTTTACATTTTTAAAACTTATTTTCATTTTTGCTTATTTGCACTTTCCAAATTTTCTGTGATGAGCGTTTAATATTTTTATAATTGAATTTTTTTAACTAAACATTATCTGCAACCCTGTACCATGTCCTCCACTTTCTCACCAGGGAGCATGAGCTAGGGGCACAAGCTAGGAAGCTGTCTACAGGGAGAACCCGGACAGACCGACCCCAGGCCATCCTACAGCTCCCAGCCATGGAAGCCAGGACTTCCTCTCAGGAGGACAAGACCCAGGGACTGGCAGCAGGAGAAGTTTCATCCATGAATTGAGTCCTGGCTGAGCTCTGACTTGGCCCGCGGAGACTCAGAATGGGTCTTGGTTTCAAGGATGACTTGTCCCTGTCCCTCTTCTCACTTCTCACTTGGTTGGCCGTGTCTCTTGCCCTGAGACCCTCTGGCAAGCCAAGTCCAGTGCTCTGTTCACTGGGCCCTCAAGCCAGCCTGCACGTAGGTGGCCTGTGGTGGGGGGCAGGGTTTCTTCCTTGCTGGCTCTGCTGCACTTGTGCTGGGAGGGGCTGGGGAGGGCATGTGGAGGTCAGGGAGGAAGTAGAGCTTGGGGCTGATAAAAATACAGAAAATAATTTCCGCCTTGTCAGTCTGAGAGTATTGTTGGTTTCATTACAAGCAGTAACTTAACACAGAAAGAAAACCACAGCTAAAGTGTCCAAGCATGACACTGTGGAAAGCCAGTGCCTCTTTCATTTTTCAAGCAAGGAACTGAGGCCTAGAAAGGTGGACTGATATGCTTGATGCCACAAGACAAGGTGGTGACAGCAGGGCTGAGATTGGAACCAGGTCTCCTGGATCCCTGGGCCCCTGCCAGAACCTGAAAAGGACCTGGGAAGGACATCGAGGGCCCAGTGGGACCGTTTCAGAAATTGGCAGTGGTGGCAGGAGTCCCCAGAGGGAGGACTGCTGAACCCCAGCTAACCATGGTGTTTCTGCAGGGGAAGGACTTGAACTGGGGAAGTGGCAGTGAGGGATAAGAAGCACACGGTGTGGCGCCTGGCCAGTATGAGTCCTCAGCAATCAGAGATCAATCCTTCCTCCTGCTGTTTCCCTCTGAGGGAAACTGACATGCCAATCAGAATTTCTAGGCCGAACAGGGGACAGTAGGTGAAGGTATCCCTGCAGAGGAAGGCAGATGTGTCTCCCCAGTTCCACGTGGCCCTCTGGCCCCTCCAAGTGAAGCCACTTTGAGGCTCCACTCACAGTGAGTCAGTCTCTTGCTGCCCCTCTGGGCCATTGTTCCCAGCCAGGGGGTGGACCCTGCTGCCTGGGGTGCCCACATCACACAGGGTGCTGCCTGTGGTCACCCTGCTGAGGCTGTAGGAGCTGTGGTAAGGTCTCAGGCGGTGGCAGCGGGCTCTGAGGCACAGGGTCTCCTGGAAGGTCTCTCGGAAGCGGCTGGACATGAGGCTGTAGAGCACCGGGTTGGCTGCCGAGCCAAGGTAGAAGAAGACACCAGAGATGACGTGCAGGTACTGGAAAGCCAGCTTCGGGCCCTCTGTCCACTGTGACACGAGGCTCCACATGACGCGGTCTGCATGGAACGGGGCCCAGCAAATGCCGAACACCACGACCAGGACAACTGCAGGGACAGAGAAGGGAGGCAGAGCGCCTGCTGGAGCCCCCTCAGCTGCCTTCTCGGGCTTCAGTTTGGGCCACCGATTCTCACCTCGTCTCCCATCCCACAGGCCACCCTCACCCATCACCCAGGTGAAAGTTTCTAGAAATGCCTGTTCTGGCCATGTCTTCCTCAAAGAGGCTGCCCTCACCACTGTCACTGACTGTAGGCAGTGGGGCACATCCCTGCCTCTGGCCACAGCTGATTGGACCAGGCATGGACACCTGTGCCCAGCTGGCCCAATCAGATTCTGTCACTCTGGAGTTTGGAATTGGGTGACACTTAGCTGTGGCTGCTGAACTACTGGGGTGAAACAGGCTGTGGGGCTAGGGCCACTCTAGATGCCCCCTGGGGAGCCATGCTTGCTGATGCATAAGTACACAGAAGAAGAAGAAAGGGGCACATGCTCAGAAAGCAGCAGACAGATCATGGGGCCAGGGAGAGTGAGACACACAGGTATACATGCACACACACAGACACACGTACGCATGCACACACTGCCTGCCTTGGCCCCTGGCCTTTTCAGCTCCAGCCCCCAGCTCCCCAAGTCCCATCTGAATATCTTGTCCTGCACTAACCTGCCCCCCATTATTTGCCAGGCCCTTGCCCACCCCCTCCCTAGCAAAAGGTAGGACAGTTTGGCCAAACCTTTCACTCTTTCTCCCCAAATCCCTCCTGCCTGCATCTTACCCAACCATGCCCTTCCTTGGGTCTCTGCTACTGGGCCAGCTGTGATTTTTGTTTCTTGTTTCTTGGGTTTGCTGCTGCAATTACTAGCTTTGCTAGGCAGAAAACCTAGCATGGTTTTCTCATAATCCCAGATTTCATAAAGGATGTTGCCCACCACATCCCCAGCACCTGGCCTGGTGCACAGAGGGTCCTTGGAAAGTAGACAAGGAAGGACGCGGGGAGGGAGGGAAGAGAGAAGCAAGCAAGAAGCCCACCTTCCAGGGGTGAGCCATACCAGCTGAGCACCTACTGCAGACTGTCCACCTGTGTTTTCAGGGAGGGGATGGGTAGTAGGGCAGAAAGCAGGGCGACGGGGGCAGCTGGTTATGGACACAAGCTTCACAGTGCAGAGCTGCGAGGCAGAAACACAGCTCTGGGCTCAGTCCCATCTCGGGCTGCAAGAGAGACTCTGGGCTCTGGGATGGTGCCTGAGGGGCGAGAGGAGTGACTCACTCTGGGGATGGGGCAGCCCCCAGTTAGCTGGCTCCGTCCAAAGTCTCGGTGGCCCTCTCCCAACCCAGCTCACTCCACTGGCCTGATTGAGGCTCTGCTGAGTTGGGGTTGAGCTAGGATGCAGGGAGGTGGGTGGGGCGGATCCGTGATCGGCTTAGCATCAGTTTGTCTTGCTTCCCCAGGGCCACAGCTTTTGAAAAAAAGCCAGGTCCAGGCCACAAAGATCCAGAGCCTCATCCCAGCTGGGCGCACCCTGGCCTGCCCCAACCCGAACGTCTCCGGCCTGATCCCCTGTGCCCTGAGCCCAGCCCTCACAGACACACCTCCCCATGGGGCTCTTTAGAAAAATGGTCACTCTGGTGGTTCCCACGGAACTGCAGACATGGCATGGGGCAAATTCAGCACCTGGCCTCTCCAGCACCCTCCTCCCCTTCTCTGGGGGACTTTGCTCCCCCCAGATCCCACTGTGCGGTTCACTGGGGGCCGTGTACCTCAGCATCCTGCCACTCTGGCTCAGGAGGTGGCCCATGACCTAAGCCCCACCCAGCAGAATCCTTCCTGGAACTTTTCACTCATGTCTAAGAGAAGAGGGCAGTTCCTCAGGAAAGGAAACGATGTGCCGGTGGCCATGCCTCGCAGGCTGCTGCAGGGAACAGGGCCAAGATGTACAATAACCAAGAAGAGCCAGGTGCAGTGGCTCACGCCTGTAATCCCAGCACTCTGGGAGGCTGAGGTGGGAGGATGACTTGAGACCAGGAGTTCAAGACCTGCTCTGGCAACATAGCAAGACCCTGTCTCTACAAAAATGAAAAAACTAGCTGGGCATGGTGGCATGCGCCTGTAGCTCTAGCTACTTAGGAGGCTGAGTGAGGTAGGAAGATAGCTTGAGTCTAGGAGGTTTGAGGCTTCAGTGAGCCGTGGTCATACCACTGTACTCCAGTCTGGGCAACAGAGCAAGACCCTGTCTCAAAAAAAAAAACAAGAGGAGAGACCTGGAGGGTCCATATCCTGTTTTCTGTCTCCTGGAGCCCAACCACATGCCCTGCCCTTTCTTGTGTTTTGGTTCCAGAGCCAGGGCCCCAGGCTTAGCAGGGTCCTGGGCTTGGTTTAATGCTCTATTGTTGTCTTAACATTCTTATTCATTTTTGAAAAAGCGACCCTGAATTTTCATTTTGCAGTGGACTCCACAAATTACACAGTCAATCTTACCATTAGCCATTAACAGGTATAAGAGTCTAACGGTAATCTAAAAGAGTACACAGGAGTGTGAACTCAGACACACGCTCACCCACACACACACATGAGACTAGGGAAGTTCCTCATCTCCCACAAACCCAGATACTCAGCCCCTTCCCCAGGCCCCAGGAGCCCCAGCCTCATACCCAGTGCCTGGCTCCGCCCCTCTTCCCACCATGACACTTACACAGCATCTTGGTCACTTGTCTCCGGCCCCGATCTCGCTGCTGGAGCCTGCAGGTGTCTCTGGACCTGGCAGCTTCGGAGCCCCTGCCCTGGGCCTCCTGCGTGAGCAGCAGCCTCTCCCGCCACAGCCGCAGCCCAATGAGCAAGTAGAGCACACTGATGATGGCCATCGGCAGACAGAAGAAGAGCAGCGCGGTGGTCTGCACTACCAGGCTGTAGAGGGCCCGTGGGCGGACTAGCATGCACATGGTTGAGTCGGGCACCAGGCCCCGACAGGGCAGGTGCAGCTGCTGGATGCCGTGCAGGCTAGTGTTGGGCAGGGAGCAGAGCATGGCAAGACCCCAGATGGCCCCAAGCACTCGGCGCACATGGGCCCGCGTCACCACGGACCTAGCCTTGAGCGGGTGTACCACAGCCACATAGCGTTCCACACTTAGGGCAGTGACATTGAGCACTGAAGCCAGGCAGACCATCTCAAACAGCAGCGTGCGGAAATAGCAGCCACCAATGCCCAGCAGGTAGGGGTAGTTGTGCCACATCTCATAGAGCTCCAGGGGCAGACCCACCAGCAGCACCAGCAGGTCCGACACGGCCAGGCTGAAGAGGTAGTAGTTGGTGGGCGTGTGCATGGCCTTGTAGCGCAGGATGACTAGGCAGGTCAGCCCATTACCCACGGCACCCACCATGAAGATCAGCAGGTACGTGGCACAGATGGGCACAAACAGCTCTGTCTGCTGCGGCCCCAGGTACTTGAATCTCAGTGCCTCGTCAGTCAGGTTCAAGTCCTCAGGGTCAAAGTACCCCCTGGCCGCACTGCCATTGCAAACCATGGGGCTCCTTGCACCCCCTGGGGACAGATCTCCAGGGAGGACAGAGCAATTGAGGCACAGAGTCATCTGGAACAGAGGGGAGATGCCCAGAAAGATCATTCAGGGAATGCTGACTCTGTCCTAACTCATCCACCCAAAGGTGACATTAGCGCTAAAATGACCATTATTTTAGGCACCACTGAGAAAGAAAACAAAACTCTTACATCCACAGGTCAGAGATGTAAAAATGCGGCTGGGTGCAGTGGCTCACGCCAGTAATCCCAACACTTTGGGAGGTTGAGGTGGGTGGATCACTTAAAGTCAGGAGTTTGAGACCAGCCTGGCCAACATGGTGAAACCTCATCTATACTAATGATACAAAACATTAGCCAGGCATGACAGCACACACCTGTAATTCCAGCTACTTGGGAGGCTGAAGCTGGAGAATCATTTGAACCCAGGAGACAGAGGTTGCAATGAGCCAAGATCATGCCACTGGGCTCCAGCCTGGGCAGCAGAGCAAGACCCTGTCTCAAAAAAATAAAAAAGTAAAAATGTACATTTTTTAAAAATAACACATGAAGCTTTGATTTTAAATTTTATGATCTATTGGAACCTTTGAATAAATGACAAATCTTGGGTGTCTCCCCTTTCAAGCAATGATGCGAGATGAGGCACTTATTTGGGCATCTGTAAAATGGGCACAATGCCTGGTATCAGAGGGTCAAGAGCAAGGGCTCTGGAAGCGACTGCCTGAATTCGAATCCAGCCTCCCCAGTTCCAGGCTGTGTGACCTTTAGTAAGTTAACCTCTCTGAGGCTGTTTCCTTATTAGGAGGATCCAGGGAGTTTAATCCATGAAAGGCATGACCACAGGGCCTGACTGGCTATGGAAAGGCACGGTGATCACCCCTTTGCTTTGGAGACCTCCAATGAGGATCAAGTGAAGCGTCAAGGCTAAACACTACAAATGCCTGATCCACAAGTTGATTCTTTTTTTCTGTTTTCTGTCACCCGAACTGTTCAAAGTCTCCGTATTTGATGCCCTTGGCACTACCAACAATGGGGTTCCCTCTCTTCTGTCCAGTCCCCCACCGTTCTTCCCGCCCGCCCTCACCGCCGCTGCACAGTAGCTCGGGAGCCTCGGGGACCAACTGGGAATTAGCAGGCGCCAGCCCGAGTTCAAGGGAGGCGACCTAGTCCTCGAGTAAGGGTCGCAAGCCCGCGGCGCCCCTGCCCGGAAGACACAAATGACCCGAGAGGCTGCGAGGCTCCCCGGTGGAGATGCGGGGGGCGCCCCGACGGAGCCCTGGGACCCCTTCCGCCCTGGGACGACCCTCCCAGCGCGGAGCCCCGGCCCAGCCGCAGCGCCTTCGCCCACGCGGGCGCCCACGCACCTACCATGTGGCCTGCGAGACCCCGGCGTCCACCCTCCGAGCGACAGACAGACACGCCGCGCCGGAGCCGATGTGCTGACTGACTGCAGCCCCAGCCCGCGCCCCGACGCCCCGCCTGTCCGCCCGGGAACGCCGCCAGGGGGCAGTGCCGTCCCCGCAGCCAGCGCGGCGCCCCCTCCCGCACCGGCGAAGGACGCGGCTGTCGGACGCGGCGCCTCCACAAGCAGCGTTACCTCACGGGACCCTCGCAACAACCCATTGTACAGATGAGAAAACAGCCTCAGATCGCGGCGGAGGAGCCCGAGAGACCTGGGGCTCACGCGCGGTCCCCGCTCTCCAGCGTGCCGAGTTTAGCATAACCCCTTGTCACGGTGTCCCTGCGACCCTCAGCTCCTCCTGCCCCACATTCAGACCCACTCCAAGGTCCCTTGAAGTCGACATGCCCTGGTGGGGTTCATACCCCCAGGCTCCAAGGGCCAGGATTGCGGCTTCCGCGGCCCCTCCCACCCGCCGCTCCTTTTGGGGCTGCCAGTCCCTGAGTCCAGGTGCACCGCCCTGCAGGACCCGCAGAAACCCCCATTCTCCCTCCAGTCCATCCTCCCGCAGCCACCAATGACGGTCACCCCTCTGCTGGAAACGCTTCCTTGGGGTCCCCCAAGCCTTCTGAAAAAGAGCACACCAAAGTCTAGCCTGGTGGTGGACCCCCCACTCCTCACCTGTCTCCCTGGGCTACCCTGTCCTTACCATGGCCCTCAGCCCCAAATACCGTCCCCCATATCTGTTCAAATCTTCTTCCCCCATCACTATACCAAGGGTGGGGGTATAGACAGGGATGGAGAGAATCTAGAGAAGGGCTAAGAATGCCCAGCCACAGATCCTTCTGCTCCCCCACACTGCCCACATGCAAACCCCAGTGCCTCGGCCGCCCCCACTCTCCCGTCCTGCAATCAGCTCCTCGCTGGAACTTCTAGGGACCCTAGAAACAATGGATCACGCAGGCTGATTCCAGCACCTTTGCCCAGATTTTGGTCTCCTTAGTCTAGAAATCCTCATATTTGACAAACGCCCTCTGGAGAGCTCCAGGCCCCTGAATCACTCTTTGAGGAGCATCAGGAGAGGTTACAAAGCCCCAGGACCCCAAGAGGCTGCTGTGAGCTGAGAAGCTGTGTGCCTCAGTTCCCCTTCCTGTAGAATGGGCTAACCACCATCGCCACTATTGTGAGGGTGGCATGAGACACTGAGTGCCAAGATTCAGCACAGGGGCTGGCACATGGCCAGCACTCAAGAAATGTGGGGTGGGATCGTCACCATCTAGTGGCAACTGGAGGCGCCTTCTTCCCCCAGCTTTCCTGCACCCTCTCCTCCCCCCTCCCGCCCCACTCCATATGTCACCATCCCGGCTTGGGGATGGGAGTTAGGCCCTCAAGGAGCCTGCAGCAGGGCGGCCTTCCCAGGAACTCCACATGTAAACAGAGTCCCAGGCAGAGAACAGTTGTGGGAAGTACAGGGGCACATGGTCCCCAGGGCCTTGCTAGAAGTGATTCTGGGGTGCCCTGCGAATTAACTGCTCAGCCCCCAATGAGCTAGTCCAGGAGAAATCCTCAATCACGGGGCTGCCACCACAGCAGGCGGCCAAGGAGGTATGATACCACTCAGCAACAGAGCGCACTGTGGCGTCATAGGCTGCTCTTAGCAAGTGACGAGCATGTGGACCCAGCCCTTCACTGGAACACACACACGCATGCACACATCACTGTGTGTACACCACCACACATGTGCACGCACACACATACCACTCTGCACACACTCTAAGCAGCCCGAAAGTCCCTGTGGACTTTTGGTGCACACAGCCCTGGAGAGGATGGAGAAGGACCCACCCAGCCTTACAGAGGCAGAACGGCTCCTGCCGGTCAGGAATTCCTACAGCGGCTGCATCATTCACACTGCAGTAGCCGCCATCAAAGACTAAACAGCAGCCCCAAAAAAGGAGTGGCTCAGTGGTCACAATGGCTGTGGCCCCCACTTCTGCCCTTTGCAGAGAGCCCTGAGGGCCCTGGCCTCTGGGTCTGAGCTCAAGGCCACCACCGAAGTGTCCCATCACAGCCATATGACATCCTGCTGCCTGCTGCTCCATCCAGAGGTGGTGTCCCCAGGTTTTCCGGATGCACACAGCCATCTCCTGAGCTTGGCTGGTGGGCGTCTGCCTAGACTAGGGGGCCAAGGACTCAACTCTGCATAACAGCAAATGCACCAGGGAGGGCCACCAGGACCTCCAGGGGCTGCTGAGATTCCTCCCAGGTCCCCCGCTGTGCAGGGCTCATGGGGCCAGAGCAAGTGAGTGGCTCTGTATCCCCTCCTCACCCTGTGATTTCCCAAGAGCCACAAGGGGCTGCTGTCCCAGGCCAGGCTTAAACCAGAACCTTCTCAGCTTTGGGCTGACCAGCAGCTCCTGGCAAGCCCATGGGTCCCCCAGAAACGCCCCAACCCCACCCCACTTTACTGCCTACAGAGGGGAGGCAGGGAGGATGAGGTGAGCTTGGGGCCACTGTAGCTCTGGACGGGAGGGAGGCAGTGCTCTGCAGCCCGGGCAATGGGGACCACCCAGGACACCCCGTCACTGGGCTTCATGGGGCACACAAGGAGAGCCAGGAACAGCAAATATCTGAAGCACGGCAGAGTCACTATACCCACCCGGGCCCCTCTCCCCATCCAGCTCTGCTCTGCGCAGTCCCAGCCGGGTCATGGCCGGGAGAGAGGGGGAAGGTCTGGGCCCTCAGGTGATGGGGCTCCCAACTTGGGGGTGGGATTGCAGCTCAGTGAGCCACGTGGCCTGTGTGAGGTCGTCCACCCACACTCCCTGAGCCGCCAGTCCTGGCTCTGCTTGCAGAAACTGGTGGGAGAGATGGTAAAGCGAGGCAGGGAACACACTGAGTCCAGGCTTTGGAGGCCAAGAGGCCAGAGTGAGAATCCGCATTCTGCCAGTGTGGCCTTAGATAAGCCACTTTGTGCTTCAGGCCTCAGCTTCCTTGCCTGTAAAACACAAATATAGCCCCTGTCCCCTCAGGGATGCCATGAGGATTAAGAGAAATAATGTGACACTCAGTGTAGGGTTGAAGAGCCTGGAATTCTCTGGAAGATGCCAGAAAGCTGCTGGGAGGCAAGACTGGGATGGGAGATGTGCTTAGCAGCGTTTGGAAGGTCAAGATCCCTAGCACCCCGGGTAGGAGAGCTGAGCCCCGGTGGAAAGGAGCATGTGGGCTTGCAGGGAGCCTGGCCACTTTGCAGGCAGCCAGGGCCCTACGGCCCAGCGGGGACCAGCAGCAGAGAAGACCTCCGGGGAGCGTCGCCCCTGCCTCTCCTGCTCCTGGAGGGGGCCACCGGGGACTGTGTGTCCAGCCCATTGCCCCTTGAGGGCTGTAAGACCTGTTCCTGACCTCTCCCAGAGACAGCTAGCCCAAGTGTTTCAGGCAGGGAGCTGGGCACAAGAAGCCGGCCACCTCCTCCCAGGGGCTCAGCCTGTGTACCCCAACCTCTGATTGTGGCCAAAGGGAGGACAAGTTCCCGTCACACAGTGAGAAAGCCAGGAAAAGCCTGAGTCTCGTGTCTAGTGCCTGTGTGTTCCTTATGCCACCTTGGACTGGGGCCAGCTCTTACTGTGTGCCCCCAGGGTGCTCCTGTCACCTACTCTTCCAAGCAATCAAGGTCACTCTCAAGTCCTCCAGCCTTCCCAGCTAACAAACCACATTTGGGTGTGTTACAGAAGCTCCTCTTGGGTCTTCCCATTGATAAATACTCACACTCATGATCAAGGGAGGTTTCAGAACAAAAACTTCTCCCCCAGTAACAGGTGACCAGCATCAGCACTCAGCAACTGGCTAGTCCGCAGCAGTTTGCTGTGTTTGATTCAGTAGCTTTGTTTTTTCCCTTTTA